CAATGGTCAACTTTCCTGGCGGGGTCACCCATGATGACAGTGGGAGGGTTAAAATGCCTCAACGCATCAGTGAGTCAACAAATCCAGCTCAGGTCCGGTCCAGATCCAAACCGAACTTCAGCCAATAGCAGCGTGACGATGGTTATGTCTTCCATCCTGCCTTCATACAGGCAGGAGGATGGAAGACGATAAGGGCTCGAGCGGTGGATGCATGTCGGCTATCTAACGTCAGGAAGACTCGGTGAAGCTGACCCCCGACTCACAGGCTCAGTGCTTCATTCAAGGGTCACCTCCTAAATGAATTGGACCAATGTGTGTGTGTGTGTGGGGGGGGGGGTGATTCAATCAATCAATCAATCAATCAATCAAAGCTTTATTTATAAAGCGCCTTCCGCAACCCTGTCAGGAAGCCCAAAGCGCTGAACATGGTACAGTTAAGTAAATATATTGAATAAATCAACAATAAAAGAGGGAGCTGAGCCAGAAAGCCAGGCTCTCGATTTACCGGTCGATCTACGTCCCAATCCTCACCTATGGTCATGAGCTTTGGGTAATGACCGAAAGAACGAGATCGCGGATACAAGCGGCCGGAATGAGTTTCCTCCGTAGGGTGGCCGGGCTCAGCCTTAGAGATAGGGTGAGGAGCTCGGACATTCGGGAGGGACTCGGAGTAGAACCGCTGCTCCTCCGGATCGAAAGGAGCCAGTTGAGGTAGTTTGGGCATCTGGTCAGGATGCCTCCTGGACGCCTCCCTGGGGAGGTGTTTCGGGCATGTCCTGCCGGCAGGAGGCCCCCGGGTCGACCCAGGACACGTTGGAGAGGTTACATCTCCAATCTGGTCCGGGAACGCCTTGGGGTCCTGCCGGAGGAGCTGGTGGAGAAGGCCGGGGAGAGGACGGTCTGGAGCTCCCTAATTGGGATGCTGCCCCTGCGACCCGGACCCGGATAAGCGGAGGAAGACGAAGACGAACAATAAAAGAAATTCAAATTACAAAATACAAATTACAAGATAGATGAAACATTCCGGTAAAATACAAATGTGTGAAACACAAGTGGATTGAGTGGATGGATTGAGTGTACCAATGAAAACTGTGGAATGGATTCAACATAATAGAGGGCCAAAATCAAACATGTTCCAGAAACGCCAAGCGGAGGAGGTGTGTTTTTAGGTGATTCTTAAAGACTGGCAGAGAAGGGGACAGCCTAACTGAGGGTGGCAACTGGTTCCAGAGTAACGGTGCTAGGACTGAGAAAGCCCGGTCCCCACGGGTACGACACCTAGACCGAGGGACAGCAAGCAGGCCTTGGTCAGAGGAGCGCAGAGCGCGTGATGGGGAATGTCTGTTCAGGAGTGTGGCTAGATAGGGGGGACCACCACCCTGGAAGAAATGATAAACAAAGACGAGGATTTTGAATTGTGAGCGATAGCTTCACCGGGCTACTTCATACCACAGGTACCTTAGTATCTGAGCCAGCACCACGCTGGAGCACGACGAGTGTAAAACAATCCCAGACCAGAGCGAGTGTGAAGCGTGTGAATCTTTCCGTGTCGCCCAGCTCCAGTCAGGGTGTTTGTTTCTATGACAACCCCTGCAAGCTACTTCCACCAGAGAGGAGCCCAGGGTGAGGACTTTCAGAGTCTTGCAGCAGATCAGATGGAGCTTTGTGATGGAATAATGATGAGAATGCATTTTCTTAGTTGTGGATGAATGTCATTCAGGTTTTTTAGTCACGTATTAATTTGAATTTGTTACCGAATGGAAACTGCATCGTAGGTTTGTTGCTGTTTGGTTGAAGAAGGCAAGCCGGGTTCAAGCTTGTATCTGCGTGCCCCTGGTATAAAAGGTGCTATGAGAGCATTTCCTAACCCTCCTGACTTTTAACCCTTTTAATCCAACTTTAGCTTCAACATTTTGTATTTACCTCTCAGGAGAAGGACAACCCCTCTACTGAGTTCCACTACGAAAACCTGCAAGCTACCGTGCTGAACCTGTTTGTGGCGGGAACAGAAACCACCAGCTCCACCATCAGATATGCTCTCAGCGTTCTGATCAAGTACCCACACATTCAGGGTTGGTCTCCTCATGGATCATCTAATCACTCTACGAGCTGCCTCTCAGAACCCTTTGCTTTGGTTTTCCAGAGAAAATGCAGGAGGAGATCGACTCTGTGATCGGAAAGCACAGAAGTCCCAGCATGGAGGACCGAAAGTCGCTCCCATTTTCAGACGCTGTCATCCACGAGGTCCAGCGCTTTCTGGACATGGTCCCTTTCAGCCTCCCACACTACACTCTGAAGAACATCTCCTTTAGGGGTTACACCATACCCAAGGTAGCCTCGCTTAATCCAGCTCTGAGCGCTCGCAGACACAGAAATCTGAGCTGTTCTTTGGTTTTTGGTGTCTAAGATGCTGTCGTGTCTCTAGGGGACTGTCATCTTCCCCTTGCTGCACTCTGTCCTCAAAGAAGACAAGCATTGGGCAACCCCCTGGTCCTTCAACCCTCAGCACTTCCTGGACCATAACGGCAACTTTAAGAAGAATCCTGCTTTCCTTCCTTTTTCTGCAGGTAAAACAATCAGAGGGCCAGTGTTCTTTTGAGTTTACGGCTGAACCGTTCGGACCGTGTCTCCTTACAGGAAAGCGAGCGTGTGTTGGTGAGTCTTTGGCTCGTATGGAGCTTTTTATCTTCATAGTGGCGCTCCTGCAGGACTTCACCTTCTCCTGCTCTGAAGGACCCGATAGCATCAACCTGATGCCAGAATACGGCGGCTTTGCCAACGTGCCTCGGCGTTACAGAATCATAGCGACACCGCGGTGAAAGAAGGCTGGCATGGGTCTGCTCTGATGACTGGGATATCAGGATGATTGTACAGTTTGTTTCATTCAGGCTTAAAAAACGAGTTCAGACGACATCTTCTCAGTTATTGTTGTGAGGTCTCCCTTCTTGTATGTTATTTTAATTTATTTGTATATTTCAATCAATTATGGCTCTTTTTGCTTTCCGTAAAGCAGTTTTTTTATATATCAACTATAAATGTAAGATCAGAATTCAAATTTATTTCTAAATAAAGTAATAAAACTAACAAAATTTCAGTCGTCTTTAAAAAAACAAGCAATGTGATATTAAAATATTTAATTTACTGTTTGGAAATTTGGGGAGCCACAAAACTTTTACTCCACCTTTGTTTGTTTGACACAAAAGAGCACTGAGGATCATTAATAACAGGAACTTACTCTAATCCATTATTCGTTAGGTATGAAATACTGACATTTACTGACTTGGTGGAGTGGAAAGTATTGCAAATAATGTACAGAGCAAAGACGAGTAATTTACCAACTAATATTCATGTTTTGTAAGAGAGTAAAAAGGGACTGATGTCTTTAAAAAACCTGAATTCAGAACCAAAATGAAGGAATGTAATATTTCTGTAAATGGTGTAAGAAACGCCCTTAAAGGGGCATTATGGAAGTGTGACAGCCAAAACATGTATAGAAATAATAAATGTCTTCTTCATACATTCTCCTGCAATGCCCTGGTCCTGTAGAATGAGCCCTGGCATTTTTACTGTGATTGCCTGTTTTTCTGTAAAATCACAGAAAAAGAGAGATGCTCGGGTCGAGCAGGCTGCTTCATGCGCGTTCACGCTCAGGCATCGCCCGTAGCATTTGCTATCCGTAGCTTTAGCAGCAGAGAGAGAGGCAGTGCCACTTTGTCGCTGTTCCTAACGCCTAGTGACAAAGCTAGCTACATTTCTGAGGACCCTTAGCTACTTTCTGTAGAACTTTCTTCTAGATATTTCCTGCTAATTAGCAACAAAATAGCCATTTTCACCCCGAACCGTTCTTTGGTTTGACGTTGTTTCAGCTGTCATCAAGGATATAAACGTTACAGATGCAAAAGACGCCACTGGCGCTTTAGTTCACCTAGTAAGACGTCGGACTCTCGTGCAGAAGACCTGGGTTTGATTCTGGATGTGAACATAGTTTATTTAGAGTTTCTTTTTTACATTAATGGTATATTTTTTTACAGTAAGATGTCCAAATTTTTATTTGAGACTCGCCGAACGGCATTGAATTCACAGATAAAAAAGATGTGGGTTCAACTTTCATTTTGGAACAATTTTTCAAGCAAGGGAAGGGAATGATCTGAGCATGCAGGAGGACTGACCCATCATCAACCTTTGTCGGCTGTGCTGAAGAGAAAGGTACAGAACCAAATTATTTAATTAATTAGCTGCATGTTCTCCTGTCCTCTGGGCCACACACACACACACGCACACACGCGCACACACACACACACACACACACACACACACACACACACATGGCCGACGAGAAAGTGCAGCTGCAGAGACAGAGGCACATTATTTTATTAATTTGCTGTGCTCATCTGTCCCCCCCCCCCCCCCCCCCCCCCAAACACACACACACACGCAGGACTGTCTCAGCTGCTATTTTCGTTAAGGAGTGTGCACGTACAGCATGCGCGCCTCATGCACGAGCCTACTATTGAAGCTGCCGTTACGCTTTTGGCCTGAGGGGGCAATCGCGAGCATAAAAATTCAAAACTCCGCAAAGTCCCTTAACAGTGAAATTAAAGAATCAAACTCACTTGCTATATTTAAAAAATGTATAAAATCAAATGTATTAAGTAATTATGAAAAGGTGAACTAAAATGTCAGTGATTATATATAAAAATTAGAAAGGGACTGAGGTTATATTGTGTGTTTTACAGATAATTTACTGAAAGGGGCAGAAGTTATAAGATTTTTCTTCTATCTGCTCCTTTTCATTCAAATGTTATTTTTGTCATGTTCTGTATTTGCTTGTGTTTATTTTTTAAATTTTGAATGAAATAAAAGTGAAAAAAATAGTGTCAATATGCTTTTATTAGACCCCCGGGGTCTCTTCATTCTCTGCTGCGAGCCTTGAAAACACATCTCACTCCACCAGTTTTTCCTTTAAATGTAGGATTGAATTTGTGACGGACACGCATTAATATGAGCTTATGTGCAATATTTCTATTTCTTTTCATTTTTGGGCCAAACTGCTCACCTGCTCAATGTCTAACCAGTCCACTAGATGGTAGCATTTAGGCAACTAGCAGCTGTAGTTAAAATGAGCATCAAAATGAAGATAAAGAGGATTGAAGGGATTTTGGATGTGGCGTGGCTGTTGGTGCCGGACTGGCTGGTCTGGTCTGGTTGTCGGATCTGCAGCGAGCTAATCCTGTAATCAGACACCAGCAGCCAAAAAGCTCCGGAGTTGTTTAAAGAACCAAAGCCAGTAAACAGGAGCAACCCAGAAGTTATTTCTTGTACCCAAAAGAAGCCACAGCATCTTTTAGTTTTAATCTAATATCAGGTGAAGCAAGCGTCGAGCTAACATTGCTAACGGTGAATTAGAAGCAAATAGTCAGCTCTGAAAATGTCTCAAGCTGCCTTTTCATTTACCAACATCTGGATATTACAGTGAAAGGTGTGTGTGAATGTGTATGACTCGCTTTGCGTGTCTTCTAGAATCTTCTAGTGCTGACTCGTAAATGGAAACAGCCATGAAGCTCAAAGAGAACTGGTGTGAGAGATTTTTATCAGTTAGAGATTAACGCTATGGAATTATTGTCCTGCTTGTAGTCCAAACCATCCAGCAGCTGCAGTGAAACATCACCTCAGGGTTCGGTTTCTTTAGAGAAACGTTCAAACGGCTTTTCTGTTAAGTAAAGAAATGTCCTGAAACTTTACCGCAGCTTATTTTTTATTCATCCTTTTATATTTTTATCCTTTGACTAAATATGGAGTCAACAACCTCCAGGAAGCGCTGGTCATCCACCAGCTGCTCACGGCGGTGCATAGCAGCAAGTTTCATGTGTAACCTGATAGGCTGGAGGTCAGGTGATCGGCCAAGATGGATGTCAAGCTGTCAGCGTGTTGATGCTTGTTCTGGAAGATCGCCGTCTTCTGGATGAGCTACTGAGGAAATCCCGGACCGGGTTACCGCCAAGGCGGCTGACGCACGGATCCATCAGCTGTTGTCAGCTTTCCATTGAGTCAGAAACACGAAGGGAGCGTCGTTCGGAAACGTTTACTTTTATCTTCTGTTTATGTGATTTACAACGTGTTGAAAGGAAATCAGACGTTTTATTTGTTTGTATGATGAGACAAACTACAAAAGCAATAAAACCCTGAAGAGTGAATCCAGAGAGAATCAATAAGCATCAGATTTGATAGAAAACATGAAAACTATTTGAGTCAAAGCGACGATGGCACACTAATGACCACCGTTCATATCATTTACAGACGAGTAAAAACAGTTCAGCTATATCTGCATGCACTGAGCATCTGTTATTACACTTATTAATAATGTAATAACGCTTCTAATACACTAAAGTATATTCATATGTACTGGAATGACTTCACACAACTAAGCGAAAGTCCACATGACATTTTCCAGCTGCAGTTTTACACAGAAATGTCCTTTTTAGATGTTGGGCAGGTGATACTTATGCTTCACTTGTCTCTTGGTGTCGGGAGCAGGTGAGATGTTGCTGTGAGGTAACTGAGGCAGGTACTGCACCTGGAAACAGGCAAAGACAACAAAGAGGGTTACAATAAACGTGACATAACCGAGCTAGCGCAGCATCAGCCTGGTTTTAGCGGGGAGTTGAAATGTGACTAACAAACACACTAAATCAGAAAAACTGTTAGCTAAGACCAGGCGGGATTTACCCCGGCCTGCCTACGTCGGGAGCCTCGGTCGTGCCGTCTCCCGAGGCGCTCCGCCTCACGGCCCCAGGGGGCCCCTCCTTCCTCCTGAAAGTAGGGCAGCTGCAGCAGCTCTTCGCAGGACAGCCGGAGAGACGGGTCCATCGCCAGACACGACTGTGTACACAGAGACAGCACGAGGAAATCACACTCAGAAACACTGCTCCTGGCTGGGCTTCGAGTTAGAAGTCAGTTTCAGATTAAAGCTTCACACGTAGGAAATAGTTTCCTTCAGAGACCTTCAGATTTAAATCCCCATGTGAATAAACCACAATATGTTAAAAAGAAATAATCTGAAACATACACGGATGTCTATGTTACACGAGGTATCACGGTGAGTCCCAACCACCGAGTCCAGACAGCCAATTTCATTATTCTTATGGAAGAAATCTTTATGATTTTATTATATTTATATAAGAAGACAACTTTGAGATCCTTACACACACACACACACACACATACACACACACACACAATCACACACACACACACATACACACACAATCACACACACACACACACACACACACACACACGCACGCACTCACACACACACACACACGCACGCACGCACTCACACACACACACACACACACACACACACACACACGCACACACACACACACACACACACACACACACACACACACACACACACACACACACACACACACGCACTCACACACACACACACACACACACACGCACGCACTCACACACACACACACACACACGCACGCACTCACACACACACACACACACACACACACGCACGCACTCACACACACACACACACACACACGCACGCACACACGCACGCACACACATACACATGCACACACATGCACACACACACACGCACGGACACACACACATGCACACACACACACACACACACACACACACACACACACACACACACACACACACACACACACACACACGCACACACACACGCACGCACTCACACACACACACACACACACACGCACGCACACACATACACATGCACACACATGCACACACACATACACACACGCACGGACACACACACATGCACACACACACACACACACACACACACACACACACGCACACGCACACGCACACGCACACGCACACACACACACACACACACACACACACACGCACGGACACACACACATGCACACACACACACACACACACACACACACACACACACACACACACACACACACACCTTCATAATCTGAAGAGCAAACGGAGACACGTTGCAGAAGCGCTTCTCCAAGGGCTCCTGAGAATAAAAATTAAATCAGTTATTAAAAATGAAAGAGGCCAAATCAGCTGATGAGCTCTTTAGTGTTCGGAGTCGTACCGTCGTGTCGGGTTCAGGAATGCTGACACCGCTGAAGAACACGTTGGAGTGGAAGATCTGTTGGTGGTGAGGAATCAGGTCACCTGTGGTGAGACATTAGGAAATAAACTCATTTCATCTGTTTATCTGTATGAATAAGTCCTGTTTTATGGGCCATTCCCATCTGTACCGGGTCGGCCCAGGCCGGGTAGCCCCAGTTGGCCCCAGCCTGGCCCGGTTGATTCCACACATCCTTGCCTTAAAATACCAGGCCACCCAGATATGTAAACAACCTACGCTACCCGGCCCGGGCCGACCCGGTACAGATGGGAATGGCCCATTAGAAAGCTTCCTGAACAGCCTCTGTTCAGAGAAAGAGCTTAGCAAAAATAAAAAGTCTTGTAAAAATCTTTAGTTCAAAAATTTTTATGTTTTATGTCAAAAATAAAAAAAAGTTAAACAAAAGTGAAAATTTTGAGCAGGTTTTTTGGTTTGTTGATCTTTCATCATTTGTTTAGTGTACTTGGCTCTAAGTGACTGGTTCTGTTTATCAAGGTGACTTTAGCACCAAGGAACCGTCATCCAGATCGTTTCTATTTATAGTTCTCTGTGGGAATTTGTGCCAGTTATTCCTGCTGAAGTACCCAGAGTTTTCCGGATGAGATATAGCTGGTCAACGTCGGACTTCCCGGGCCAGAGCGGATTCCCGTTGAGCAGCTCGGCAAAGACGCAGCCCAGAGCCCAGACGTCCACAGGAGGGCCGTACTGAGTGTCCCCCACCAGCAGCTCGGGGGCTCGGTACCAGCGGGTCGCCACGTAGTCGGTGTAGTCGTCCTCGGGCCCCGCTGAGCGCAGCAGCAGACATGTGATGACATCACGCTTTAGACACTGAATAATGAACACTAACCCAGGATTACAACATGTCAGCATGAACACATGAACGTATGGTAACAGGATACAGAAACCTGATGCATGATGGGTAAACAGAGACACTCCACACACAGACGTGCTAACTGACCACACAGCTGTCTCTTGCTAAGCGCTCATCGAAACAATGAAAGTGAGGAAGCTATCAGTGGGAGCTGCTCAGGGCGCCGTGCTTAATGAGTCATCAGAGCTGCATTAACGCTAAACGCTCCCAAAAGCGCCGGCGAGGCGGCGGCCTGCTGAGGGACTCACTCAGGATGCGGGCGAAGCCAAAGTCGCACAGCTTGATGACTCCGTTTTTGGTGAGAAGGATGTTCTCTGGCTTCACGTCGCGGTGGATGCACTGAAACACAGATGAGATTTAAACAACAAAGAGTCGTCTGAGGCGGAGAGAAGCCGAGAGCAGGGCCTGAAGCTCTGGTCAGCTTCCATTAAAAGGCTTAAATGTTACGTTTGAGTCTGTCAGCTCGATTCAGAGGTGGGAAAAGCTAAAATTCAGCAGTAAACTTATTCAAATCGCTGCAAAATCCAATTTTATTACACTCAATGACCCACATGATAGTGGAGCTTCAGATGTCATCCATTTGTGTAAAAATACGCGTATGACGGAGTGTTAGGCCCATCGTGAAGGACAAAATATCCACAGAAAATCTAGATAACTTCATACATTTATGAGAAGAAACTTCCTCTGCTGTCAGAAAGTCGTAGATTTGATGAAAGATCAGTTCATGGTGATTTAAATGCATGTGAGCGCTTGATGAGACATTCATGGAAAATGTTTCCTGACATTGTGTTTGTGGCAGAAGTTCACAGCCTGCAGCGTCTGCCACACGATGCTTTTCAGCCGAGCCTCGGGAACCCTACAGAGAGAAGAAACAGCATTATTGATGCTGTAGGAGGACGTGTGACCTCAGCAGCCCAAACCGGACACAAACAAACTCTTTTTACTCTGATTATTCTCTTTATGTCATATTCACAGCATTTATGCTAGGAGGTCCCTTACACCGCCCTGCAGCCCCCCTCGTAACCTTAGGTGACTGGAGCGGCAGCAGCACCTTTGTTTCTAGAGCAGCTAGAGTTTCTTCAGCAGGGAAAAGAAAACATGCAGACAGCTAGACGTGGTTTAGTCTTACTGTATGAGTTCATATGACAAGAAAACTAGACCAGCGGCTAGCGACGAGCTTGGGATACTTAACTTTCATCATTTTCATTCAGTTTCTTCCTGCTGTGGTTTAATAACCAACATTATTCTGAAGGACTTCAGAAATGAGAGACAGAAGCCGCCGATTACAACAAACACGTGTTGTATTCCAGACAGAAAATTTAAAAAAGTCCAGATCAGGTAATCAAAAGTGAACACGGATATAAACGTCTCAGCGCCTTTAGAGTTAAATCTGACCAAATCAACGTAGACGACGCGCCGCTCTGACTTACCCTCTGGGGTGTTTGTCCAGCTCATTCAGGACCGTTTGCTCACAGAACTCAAACACCAAATGAAGCCGTCGTTTCCTCCTGAAGACCTCCAGCAGGTTGACCAAATTCACATGTTTCAGCTGCTGTAGGAGCAAAAACTAAAGTAAATATCTGCAGGACATCAGGAGTCACTGAAGCACAGAGGATGAATGCACCACCACTACAAGCACCCCTTTATTATTGTTATTATTATAGGATGAAAGCTCAGTTCATGATGATTTAAATGCATGCAATAATAATAATTATTATTATTATTATTATGATAATAGTATCAGTGTTGGCTGCGCATGATAGGATACACCTGTATTAGGGTGCGCACGTGCTTACCTGCAGGTGTAAAGAACGCACCTGACAGGTTAAAGTGACGAGTCTCACCTTCAGCATGCGTATTTCTCGCTGTGCAATCTTCTTGATGATGGGATCATCTTCAGACTCCACAAACTTCTTGATGGCCACGATCTGGCCCGTGTCTCTGTGCCTGCACTTGAACACCACGCCGTAGGAGCCCTCCCCTATTTTGGCAAGCTTTTCGTATTTCTCCATCAGGAACGTGCCTGTGACGGAAACCCAAACACGCTGGCTGTGGCTCAAAGGTTGCTTTGGGAAAGGAGTTAGCTGTCATCATGATGTTAGCTGTTGTTTACACAGTCAGCTGATCCGGGTCCACTCACCTTCTGAGTCCAGAGTCCATTAAAAGTCGCCAAAGCTCCGAGCGGTTGCTGCCATTCCTGTCCGGCTGTTGGTCTCAGACCGACTCCTGTTTCACGTCTGCTCGCGCCCGGTGCGTCACCATGGTAACCCCCGGGTTGGAACACCGGAATTCAAACAAACTGGTGTCCTCTTGGTCCGTTTAGGTGGATTTGAGTCGGATGGACTCACCTACTCACCTTCTACCTGCACGAATAACAACTTACACAGAACACGAAACTCTCTACGTAAGTTACGCAAGTATGCGTTGTCGTTACCATGGAGACCGGCGGCTAACGGCCATCGGCTACAGTTGTTTTTAGCTAGCAGTGACAGTCTTTTATTTTTTACAGTTAATATTTTCTCAATAACTACAAAAACCACAAACGTTGGTTTGAAAGAACAAGAAAGGCTAATTTCAAAGTGCAGAAGAAACAAATATATATAACGTAAAAATAATTATGTTTTGGAGCTGCCCGGTAAACCGTCCTACCCGTTGTTCCTGAGCATGTGCGCGCATGCGCACAACACAAAAAGGAATGCTACTCCGTTGTCATATTTGCAGGAAAATAGGTAAGTTGTAAGTATTAGTGCTTTTTATTGACGTTGATACTTGATTTTTTGGGTTAGGGTTAGGGGTTGTGTCATGCAAAACACCGTAAAATTATCCTGGGTAGGACGTTTTGCCAAAGTAGGACGTTTTCTCAGAACACCGGTCCTCCTTGCTATTTAGCTAACTACACTTTTCCCCAAACGAACCGTTTTGGACCAGCTCCTCGTCCAAAAATGCAAACATGGACTAAATCATTTGAGACTAGAAGCAGAATAGAAAATTCACAATCAGAACAATTATACAAAAATTTGCTTGAGTCTAAACTGTGTTTTATTTTTTATTTTAGTCTAGAAACAATTATTCCAGCTCCGAATTATCCAAGTATTGTAGTTAATGATTTTTAAATATAGAATTTGTAAACTTGCTCAGATTTCTCCAAAATTCACTGAAGGTTTGAAAAATAAAAAAAATGTTGTTGTAAATATTCAGATTTTAGTCCATAATAAGTTGAACAGTTTTGGTTTTTGAGCTACAGCTGATGAGAGGAAATTGAGATGGAAATTCCTTTTAGCTAATCTGAAACAGCAGGGGCAGATCGTGACAGATCCATTAAAACAGAATAGTAATAAAAGTCACATCTAAAGCAACATTAACAGAGAATGTGTCATTGAGTCACTGATCCAAAAGCCAAAGAAAGAAACTACAAAACCCAGATTTAGAACTAAAATTAAAGAGCAAGTCACCCCCTACAAGAAGCTTAGTTCACTCCCACTTCATGTTTGAAAAATGCAACAAATGCTGTTGCTTGGCAGACCGAGAGGGCGGAGCCGCTAACAAATACACACACACACAGGCTCACAATGGCATTATGACATCGTAATATACCAGATGACATCATAGCATACCTCTTAGCCAATAGCGATGGCAGATTTAAATTCAAATACAGTGCAGAATTTTTCCCTGACGACGGCGCAACACTGACAGTTTTAGGCAGAATATTTGAATTTTAACCAAGATGCACTGAACTGCCAAATTATTGATGACACGTGTCTGCAGCACGATTAGACACTCATTTATATAGTTTATCAGCAAAAAAATGTGATTTGGGGGTGACTTGCTCTTTAAGGAGTGGAATATATCTGTAAATGGTGTTAAATTATGGAATAACCTTAAAAGGGAAATTACAAAAACTCCGTCAATTAATATATTCATAAAATGCACCAAATTGAGTGTACTAAATAATTATGAAAATGTAAATTAAACCAATGATCATGATCGCTCTGGAATTTAGAACAGGAAACAGTTTAAAATGAATCTGTGTGTGTGTGTGTGTGTGTGTGTGTGTGTGTGTGTGTGTGTGTGTGTGTGTGTGTGTGTGTGTGTGTGTGTGCGTGCGTGTGTGTGTGTGTGTGTGTGACACATGGTAATTATATATAAATAGATTATTTCTTCTGGAAAAGGGGGCAGAAATTATAAGCTGTTTTTCTTCATTCTGCTCCTTTTCGTCCACATTAGATTTTTGTTATGTATTTCTTATTGTTTATATGTTCTATTTGTTTTTATTTTGAATGAAATAAACGAAGAAAAAAAACCAATAGGATTTTACATAAATAACAATGAATCAAACTAAAATTCAAAGTGCCAAAAAGACCAGAGTGTTAAATAAAGTCTGTTTTTCCCAAATGGAAACCTTCCACAGACGCTGCAGCATCGCATCCCTCCTCCACTCGTTTGAAAGGCCAACATGTGGTCACATGATTTATTAAGTGTCTGATCTCTCGACTGACTGTGAACATTTTCTCCCCTGCCTTCCTTCAAAGGCTTTAGTGTTTGCAGCAACCCAGCTGTGAATGATGGGAAAGCTGACACAGCCAGACTCCGTGAGGTTGTGGCGTCACGGCGCGGTGGTAAAGGGTTTGGAACGCCCCACGCTGGACTGGTCAGACTGGCAGGTTGTACATGACGGCTGTTGTGTGTAGTGGTTTATTCTGTTCTTGCAGAATTTGTTTGGTTTAAACTTTGTTCGGTCAGAAATACTGAAACAAGAAATGCTTTTTATTATTTAACAGCTGATGACTTAACAGTAGAGAGACATTTTCTTTTTGCACATTTTCTATTGAATCTTTTTATTTATTGAATTTATTTAACCTGATGAGTCTAAAGAGAACTCATTCTCATTCACAACGAGGACCTGGCCCAGAGGCAGCAGCAGACATAGTTAGCTTCACACCAAACAACAACAGATAAAACAGTCAACGGACTGTTCTCGTATACAACACGTACGAGCACTCAGAACAGACTAAACAGTCTTTAATACTCAGAAGCAGGAACACTGATCAGAAACTATTGATCACCATGAATGATTGAAGGTAGATAATAGAATGTAGGTAGGGAGCTTCGGTGGTTCTGCAGCTCATTCCGGTCGTTGGAAGCAGCAAACTGGAATGAGGAGCGGCCGAAGGAGGTGCGAGCTTTGGGAGTAACCGTAGTGATGAAGTTACTGGAACAGGAACGGTGCTGGTTGTTGGGAGTGATGATGATGAGGGAAGATATGACGGTTCTACTGATGATTGTTGTGTATATGAACTGATACCGATGTAACATCCTGCAGGAATGCTAACGGGAGATTACAGATCACAGTGGGTGACAGTAGCACAGGAGGTAATCGGAAGGTTGCAGGTTCGAGCCCCGCTCGGTTTGTCGCTGTCACTGTATCGTGTGCTCGACAGCCTCGTTTCTGTCAGTGCGCCCCAAGGCAGCTGTGGCTACAATGTAGCTTATCCCCACCAGCGTGTGAATGGGTGAATGGCTGATTGTGTTGTAAAGCACCTTGGGGGGTTCCAGGACTCTAGAAGGTGCTATATCAAATACAGACCATTCACCGTTTGCCACCATGATGAGTGGTGAAAGGGGCACTAGTGACCAAACGGGTTGCTGAGTGATGAATGACATCGAGTTTATGAAGAAGTTTTTAGGTAGCGGTCCTATAAACGATGTCACCGTAATCTAAGATGGAAGGATTGTCATGTTGACCAAGGGTTGCTTTGCAGAATGAGTAAAGGATGACCTGTTGCTATAGAAACCCAATTCTTCACTTGACTTTAGAAAGTAATGAATTCATGTGAACGTCAGATGAAAGTGTGCGGCCAAGCCAGATACCAGATGACTGACGAGCTGTAGCTCTGGTAGCATCCAGGGAAACAATACTAGGGTGGTAAGGTGATCGTGGTAAGTTCTGGTTGAAGATCATGAACTTTGTTTTACTTGTGTTTAAATTAAGGTGAAGGTTGGAAAAGGCATGTTTAAGATCATTAAAAATGGGCCGCAAGGAGGACAAAACTGTTCAAGGAACAACTGCATGCATATAAAATGGTGTCGTCTGCATATAAATGTATATGAGAACTGTCAACAGCATGAACGATGTTATTAATATAGATTCTGAATAAGGTTGGGCCCGGTAGCGACCCTTGAGGAAGAGGAGCAGGTTGGTAACCCTCTGTTCTCACTGGCGCATGACCTAAGATATAACTTCTGAACCGTACCACGGATGCCTGATGGAAACAGGAACTGGTTGTGGAGAGGGAATCGTTGCATGTAGCTGAGTCGAGGCCCGAGACCCAGAGACGGGTGAAGCTGTTGCAAAAGCATGACCAGACTTGATAAAGTGATTATTGAAAGAATTTACCATTTTAGTTTCATCTGAGACAACAATGCCAACAGATTGGATGCATTTGGCGGGTGTGAGGACTTGTTGGTATTTTCCATAGTCTTGACAGTCTTCCAGAACTTTTTGGGGTCAGAACTACTCATCAGAAACTGGTTCTTATTATTCAGATATATTATTCACAGATATTCTTTGATGTCTTTGCTCTTTGCCAAGATTGGTGTTTTAGACAAATTCAATTCAATTCAAGTTTGTTTATAAAGCACCAAATCATGCCAAGAGTCATCTCAAGGACCTTCACACAGTAAACATTCCAACACAGGTCAATTCATTAAGCCAATCAGAAAAAAGTTTCCTATATAAGGAACCCAGCAGGTGGCTTCGAGTCACTGACTAGTGTCAGAGCAATCCTCATACTAAGCAAGCATGCAGCGACAGTGGAGAGAAAAACTCCCTTTTAACAGGAAGAAACCTCCAGAGGATCCTGGCTCAGCAGCCATCCTCCACGACTCACTGGGGATGGAGAAGACAGAGCAGACACACACACACACACACACACATGCACACACACACACGCACGCGCGCACACACGCACACACACACATGCACGCACGCACGCACACAGGTTACATTGTGATTTCTTAGTAAATATTCTATTTGGTGAGAGATAAACTTTATTGTATTTATCCTAGTGGATCTATAATTAAACGGGTAAACTAGTAGTAGCACATCCAACGTCAAAGAGAGTAAAAAGTTATTATCAGGAGAGGGAGAATGTTTAAGTGGTTAGCAGCAGTGTGCTAGACGATGGCCCCCTCCATGAGGCCACCACAGCTCAGCAGAACATCGTTGTAGCTTCTTCTGGGGAGAAAAACACTTAGAGAGAAAATAAAGTTAACAGCTGAAATAGCAGAAAATAATACAGTTAAAGAGCAGATAGTAGAAGAAAGTAGTAGAGTGTGAAAAGTGGTCAGTGTATCCTCCAGCAGTCTAAGCCTATAGCAGCATAACTACAGAGAAAACTCTGGATAATCTATCCTATTTAGTTGGAGGCATGTTGGAGGCAGGGCAAGGGAGAGCCGTCTTTACCGACTGTATACTCCACCTCCCTCTACTCCCCCACTTGTCCAGATCTAGGCTAACATCAGATTTTAACCATAGGCCCTATCAAATAAAAATGTTTTAAGCCTAGTCTTAAAAGTAGACAAGATGTCTGCCTCACGGACTAAAGCTGGGAGCTGGTTCCACTGGAGAGGAGCCTGATAGCTAAAAGATCTGCCTCCCATCCTAATTTTAGATATTCTGGGAACCACCAGTAGACCTGCAGTCTGAGAGCGAAGTGCTCGGTTAGGAACATATGGAACAATCAGATGTATGTATGTTGGAGCTTGATTATTAAGAGCTTTATATGTGAGAAGAAGGATCTTAAAATCTATTCTGAATTTAACAGGTAGCCAATGTAGGGAAGCTAAGACAGGAGAGATATGATCTCTCTTTTTAATTCTCATCAGAACTCTAGCTGCAGCATTTTGGACAAGCTGAAGACTTTTAACTACATTCTGTGGACTTCCTGAGAGTAATGAATTACAGTAATCCAGTCTTGATGTAATAAATGCATGAACTAGTTTTTCAGCATCACTCCTGGAAATGATGCTTCTAATCTTAGCAATATTCCGAAGGTGGAAAAAGGAAATCCTACAAACCTGTTTAACCTGGGATTTGAATGACTTGTCCTGGTCAAAGACAACACCCAGGTTCCTTACTTTGTTCTCGGAGATTAATGTAATGCCATTCAGGTCAGATGATTGGCTAAGCAATTTCCTTTTCTGGATTTCTGGTCCAAAGATGAGAATTTCCGTCTTGTCTTGATTTAAAAGCAAAAAGTTTAGAGTCATCCAATTTTTAATGTCCTCAAGACAAGCCTGTAATCTACCCAACCGATTAGGTTCATCAGGGTTAATGGATAAATATAACTGACTATCGTCAGCATAACAGTGGAAGTTTGTCCACAGGAATCAGTTCTGACAGCTCAGTGTTGATCCAGGGACTTAAACCATTTGTCTCCGGTAACGTAGCAGCTTCCTGATACAAATTCTGGTTGATTCCAGTTCATCTAAGAACTGTGATTAATGTATTCTAAAATCGGAGCTCATCAAGGACCCAGAAAAACGTTGGATCTTTTATTTCTGCTTGTGGAGCAGCCACGGATCAGGATGCCGGACCCGTGGATAAACTGAGCGATTCCGACCAGCAGGTGAGACGTGGACTTGTCTCTAAAATGCTTCATCTTCCACATTTTGTGCCCATTTGTTGTTGTACCACTTATGGCCACCAGGTGGTGGTAAGTGCTCATCAAAACTGACGAGGTCTTTCATTGTTCACATCTAGTAATTCCCCTTCTTGTTCTCAGTATGTTATCAATGACCCTGATCAGAGATGAACACAGACGTAGACGGGCTCGTCCTCTGAATAAACACCGATGTCTGCTGGGCTCTTAGGGGAATTCTGGGCTCCTAGTTTCCCACGTTGAATAACTAATTCTTTATAAACAACAATAGACAACCAATGGAAACGCACACAGAGCAGAAATCCCCAACCCAAACACCGCTTTGGCCGTTTGCTGTCTTTACTTCCCCGTTGAATCATCCTTCAGACAGGACTCACGGTTTGTTTTAGTCTCTTCTTCCTTTTCAAAATACACAATCCAACCTCTAAAACAGCATTCAGACTTGGGACGGCACCACACAGCCCTACCCTGATGGAGCTCCATCCCTTGAAACTCACAACTCTATTTTTAGACCTGCTGGTCTCTCACTTCTCTGGCCTGGCAGGCGCACACCTTCACAGCCACCAGGTAAATGTGGCATTCAGCTGGTGAGGCACTTGTGCCATGGCGGGCTTTGTTGCTGCCTCTGTAGACCGGGTCATGAAGGAGCTGGACCAGATCAAGTCCGTTCATATTCGGCTTGTTGGTTCCTAAAGTGGACTGAAGCAAGGCACCAGAGGCGTTTAACAGCAGATGTTTTGCACTGCAGCCGTTAGCTTCATTTCCTGGGCGGAGAGCTTCTCGCTCTATTAGACGACTAACAGGAACAAGAAAAAAAAGAAGAGTTAGAGGGGGGCGGGTGTGCGAGTTATCTGAGCCTAGAGCTCCCCACAAGTCACTTGGTGAACAGCAAGCTCTGACAGGCAGCAGCAGAGACGAAGCGGGAGTCCAGGAGAGAGCCGGAGCTGGGGAGGGCAGAAACAAGGTGATACCGATGGATGGGTAGAGGGGGAGAAGAGGATAAACACAGGACTGCTGTCCAGTTCCCCAAAGAGCACAGGCTGATCGGGACACTTCCTTCTGCTACTGCTGGTCTGGATGGTTCCTCTCACGTGAAGAGAAGGTGTGTGAGGTTTCTTGAGTCTGACATTTTAAAGCTTTGATAGCAGGCGCCGGCTTTATCCCTGATTTGGTACAAAGGGAGATTGGACTTCTGCGTTGTCATGTTTGAGAATGAGGCAGCTGGTGGCGTGAGTCGGAGGTGTTGAAAGTAGTTTCTGCTTTGATGCAGCTGCGCAAAGATCACATGTTGTTATTGGTAAAAAGAAAAGGTAGTCAGAGTCGAGGACAGATCAGGTTTTCCACACGCTTCTCTGTTGGAGAGGTTTGGGACTGTTACAGGTACTATTTTTAAGTTCAGCTGCACATCCTGTTTCCTGCTGGAGACCCGCCGTAGTCCTTTCGTCCAATCACACTTAAACTAGGAATAATTACAGATCAGAAGCTTGATTTTGTCTGGATGGTGTGTTTGGTGTAGTTCTGGAGGACCTTGTGGTTCAAACAGAACAGGAAGCGGTGACAGGTTAAACGCCCAAGGCCTAGAAAATAAGAGTTGTGTTTGCCAGCACCAGTCATCGTTTTGCTGATTGGGCCACAGCTTGCCTGCAGGGACGTGTAATAAGAGAGTGCTGGTCGTGCAGAAGCGGGCGGACACGTGGAGACACATAAACTGGCTCAGAATTGAACGTTGCAGGTGGAGGCGTGGAAATCTCAGGTTATTTCTGGACCGATCAGCTCTAGAAGACATCTGTAGCGCGATGGGCCGGTTCTAGTGCTCTGGGGCATCGTGGGACATCAGAGGCTGGACACGTTTAGGTTCTGCCCACGCTGAGTTAGGTGGTTTCACAGCAGAGGCACCTGTAGTTGGGTACTCTCTGGACTCTCCACACTGCTGCAGTTGTGTGTAAACACCTTGCGTCAGTCACACCTCTTCACTGGGTGATTCACCAAGCACCCCCCGGCTGGCACAGACAGAAAAGGTGAGGGAGAATTTACTCAGAACCAGAGTGCAGAGAGCGGCGCTGAGCTGTCGAGCTGTCAGGATGAAGCTGGGATTCCTGCTGCTGATGGCGCTGCACATGCTGAGCAGCGTGAACAGCATGTCCACCTGTAAGACTCTGGACCTGGAGATAGTGAGGCAAAAACGCATCGAGGCTATCCGGAGCCAAATCCTCAGCAAACTTCGCCTGCCTAAAGCCCCTGAGCCAGATGAGTCTGGAAACAAGGAGGAGATCCCGTCCTCCCTGCTCTCGCTCTACAACAGCACCAAGGACATGCTGAAGGAGCAGCAGATCGAGGTCCAGAAAACCATCTCACTAGAACAAGAGGAGGAGGAGTACTTCGCCAAGGTGCTGAACAAGTTCAACATAACCAGTAAGTACCAGATTATTCAGTAGAGCAGCACATAAATCATGAACCCGCACCCATTTTCACGAGTGAGGGCAATTACAGCCGGCTGTAAGAAAGTCACATAATTGTTGGACGGTGATTTATGATCCTGTACTTGCAGCACGTTGCTCAACACATGGAAGCTTATGAGAGTCTGAGCTTTCAAAAGAGCGTAGGGGCTTCTCCTCCAGATGGTGCTTGTAAAGTTGCTGATGGAGAAGTACGCACAACGAAAACTCAACAGCCAAAAAGCTGCATAGGTAAAAGTTCTGGCATCAACAAACTTGGCAGCATCACAGAATGTTCCCAGTGGCTAAAATCGTTGCTGAGCTCCTTCAACACATCTTCTGATGTCCGTTCAGCAACGTTGTGGGACATCCAGAGGTCAGCGGCGTGCACACGGGCCGATGAGATGCCGGTTTAGGGCCTCGTTAGCACGCTTCGGGCGGTGTGGCGACGCGCTGTTTGTTCAGAGCTCGCCTGTAATTGTGCAACGTCTCCCAGAGTCTTACGATGAACATATTTTTAGGTTTGGTCTGAAGGCACCATTGTTCTCCACATGCCTGTACTCCTCACTTTATCAGGCAGGCGTGCACATTATCCCTCTTTCATCCACCACATCAAACAGAAGACTTGATGTGGATGGACCACGAGTGTGGAGACCCAAGAGAACAAAGCAACTTTTCCCTGATGAGGGTTTTCTCCCTTCTCTCATTTTCCCGGCTGGTTTTCCCTCGGCTACTTTGTCCCTGAGGGATTTGGGATTTTCCTGTTCCTGTAACTTGAGCGTTGGGCTGTCCTTGTCCCTTACTCGCTATCATGTCTCTGTCTCACCCAAAGCATGTTGCTTTTAATTTCCTTATCTGTTTTGAGGTGATTAACTGTTTCTGTTTCCCCTGCTGGCCTCTAATTCCTCCCTCTGCGGGGTTTCCTGTGCTTATTATCAGTGTGTTTGCGACAGGGCAGCTTGGCAGGAAGGAAGGCAAGCTGATGGCCACAGAGATGCTGAGTGACTCAGGTCCGGTTCAGGCCGTGCCCGTGGGGAGCGCGTGCTTCCGAGCTCCTCGGAATGCCAGTGAACACCCCTCCGCTATCTACAAACAGAGACATCCTCAGAAACAAGTTTATAGGGATTTATGGTGCAAAAGTTATAAACAATTCCCATTTCACCATTTCTCTGAACAGCCTCAGTTCCAGGAAGCAGGGTTTGTCTTTTAAGATTGACAGGCTCACTGCTAGGCAGAGTTCAGCTGAGACTCAAGTGTGTTGCTGCTATGTTAGGTTGTGAAGGAAAGGGGCCAGTAGTGGCCCTAAAGTCTGATGTTGTTTAAGCGAGGCCTCGTAAAAGTAGAGAAAAGTTCAAATCTGTTAAACGCGGTACGTCCCCCGTATGACCGGTGCCAGAACTTTATCCGCGTTGTCGGCAGTAAGTTGGACTCGGCCAAGGCTGCCCTTTGTCACCGATTCTGTTCATAACCTTTATGGACAGGATTTCTAGGCACAGCCAAGCTGTGGAGGGCATCCGTTTTGGTGGCCTGAGGATCAGGACTCTGCTTTTTGCAGATGATGTGGTCCTGTTGGCTTCATCAGAACGTGACCTTCAGCTTTCGCTGGAGCGGTTCGCAGCCAAGTGTGAAGCAGCTGGGATGAGAATCAGCTCCTCTAAATCTGAGACCATGGTCTTGATTCAGAAAAGGGTAGAATGCCTTCTCCGGGTCAGGGATGAGGTCCTGCCCCAAGTGGAGGAGTTTAAGTATCTCGGGGTCTTGTTCACCAGTGAGGGAAAGCTGGAGCGTGAGATCGATAGGTGGATTGGTGCTGCGTCTGCAGTGATGCGGGCGTTGTACCGGTCTGTCGTGGTGAAGAGAGAGCTGAGTCAGAAGGCAAAGTCGGTCAATCTCCTCCCCTCATCCGTGGTCACACAAGACCTGCTGCTCCTCCACATCGAGAGGAGCCAGTTGAGGTGGCTCGGGCATCTGGTCAGGACGCCTCCCTGATGAGGTTTTCCGGGCGTGTCCAAACAGGAGGAGACCTAAAGGAAGACCCAGAACACGCTGGAGGGACTGTGTCTCTCAGCTGGCCAGGGAACGCCTCAGGATTCCCCCGAAGGAGCTGGCCCACGGAGCTGGGAAGAGGGAAGTCTGGTCCTCCCTGCTTAGGCTGCTGCCCCCGCGACCCGACCCGACCCGGATAGGTGGGGGAAATGGATTGTTTTTATTCATCATGTTTTTAGTCTGTAGTTTAATTTCCTGGTGTGCCAGAGCACAAACATTATCTGGTTTATACTAAGCAGCAAACATTCAATTCCTAAAATAAATGTAGGTAACAGAAAAAGATTGGCCCAGATCACCAGAACTAGCAACTAGAAGACAATCGGCCCATCAGAACCAGGGAAACGGATTCTCTTCTGTTAAGACAAACATTCCTGATCTTTTTATGTCTCACAGCTCCAAAGATTTACTGTTTCTGGAAGTGAGCGGTGTTGGGAAAGTTCCCTTTAAAAACAAACTCGCTCACAGTTCAGTTCATGCCAAGCCTGTAGGGGGCAGTAGTTCTACAAACCCTCGGTGTTTTTACCTAAATACATTCTCTTGAATAACCTTATGTCGATGTGAATAACTAGTGGTGGGCAATACCGGTACGTCACGTCTCCCGCCTCCGCCTGTGCTCTGCTACAGGGAGCAGTTGTTGGGAAAACAAGCAGGCGAGCATGAACTCAAATGATGTCAGAGCATTTTTCTTACAGGCAGTGATGCTGCGAAAATCTAAAAGTCTGTTGTTTTACGTCCACAAGCAAATGCTGACAGCTGAGGATTAGCAAATCTCCACTTTGGTTGTGTTTAATGTTGTTTATCTTCACGTGTGTGTAGATGACAGAACAACCCTTCGTTTGGGGGAATACCCGGCTACGTCTGCGCAGGCCTGAAGGTGAAAAGCAAAGTCGGCGCTTACACGGTTTTTCTGTGTTGGAAGATATAATATCGGTCATCAGCCATAACAGCAGTATCAGAGTTGACATCGGCTCAAATTTCCCTATCGGTGCATCCCCAGTTTCATTCAAATAGGACGTTTTAATGTGTGGTAGAGCAAGTTAAAATAATGAAAAAAAAAAAACAATAAAATTGTGCTTTTGATTTAAAAAAATAATTGTTATAGGTTTAGAAGATTTTTACGTAGGTAATTTTGGGCTTTGTCTCTGTGTGGACACCATCTAAACGTGTTGATGGTCTGCTGAAGCGCTGACATCATCTCTAACGTAACACGAGTATTAAAAAAAACAGAAAACAAAGCTGGACGTAAACATTTATTTAATGATAAACGATGAATGACCCGCGCCTCTCAGAGTAAGGACTCCAAAGTGCTTCACACTACAGTGCATCATTCATCCATTCACACACTGATGGTGATGAGCTACGGTGTAGCCACAGCTGCCCTGGGGCGCGCTGACAGAGGCGTGATAAAATCTTAATTTGATTTTAAAGTGAATAAAAGTGTCTCTAAATGACATTTCTCCTCCCAACCACCACCTGCCATCTTAAAACTGCAGTCGGACTAGCCGTTAGCTCATCATTCCCGAGGCTCACAACAGGAAGAAGTTACGAACGGGAGTGAGGAGGCCGGTTTAGAGCTCTGAGTTGTGTTTAACCCTCTACTAGCAGATGGTACAGTGTACTTTAGTCCTTTTATGGTGCTAAAGCATGCACTAAACTTCAAAATAGAAAAAAGTTGAGTTAGTTTAACATTTCTACCAGCTCAGTGGCCCAGTGGTCGAGCGCCCGCCCTGAGTCTGGGAGACTGTGGGTTCAAATCCACGGTCGGGTCATACCAAAGATGGGACCCGTCGATGGACCCAGCGCCTCCCGCCCTGCTTGGCACAGCATTAAGGGATTGGATTGGGGGGTTAAACCAGGAAGTGGCTCCCGAGCCTGCAGCTCACCACTCCCTGGGATGGGTCAAGTGCGGAGGGCAGCCTTCACCACACCAGAGTGACAACTAATGGGGCCGAAGTGAAAACACGTCCCGGAGTCAGATCCTGCTTCAGTGTGGGGAGAAAAGTGTTGAGGAGTGTTTGTTTTTCCTTGTGAGTTCATTAACGTTCCTATTCATCCTTTCATTTAGTGCTTTTTGCAGGACGACTCACGCTTTCCTGAACTCCCAGAACAGCCGTGGGACAACATTCTTGTGTGGAGGGAGCATTTTAAAGCCGAACCGTTGAAGTTGTGGTAATTGTCTGGTGGATTAGGCTCAATTCCCTCCAGCCACATCCCTTCCCCACACACTCACCCCTCCCACGCCGGTGGACGTGTAATTCAGCTCGTTTTAGACCCCTCCTCTGGAAACCCGCCACCGACTGCTGTTGGAAAGCAGCTCCCTGCTGTGGGATTCTGGAGCGTGGGCACGTTAGCGGGGTGAGGGCATCGGTGAGGGTGGAGCGGGTTTAAAGGAGGCAGAGCTGCTGGAATCTGCTTCCTCCCACTGATAATTACAGAGCTGTCTCCATACCTGTCACAACAGCTGTCCCGGGCTTACCTGTGGATAGGCCCTGGTTCAACACTCAAATCCCCCCCACACACCCATGTGGAAGCTGGATGCTTTTCCCGGAGCAGCTTAACTCTCCCGGCTCGGAGAAAAGGTTTTCGTCATAGCTCACGAGTCCTGAGGGACGACGAGAAGCCTGCTCGTCAGAAAGCAGAAGTGGGGAGAAACTTCAGCGTGATCAAGCTGCAGCAGCCAATATGCTCGTTAAGGGAAGCGTGACTTCACTTCCTGTTTCGCTAACACTTCTCCAGGTTTAACGCGTTTATCTGACTTTGGTGAAACTAGCCACTGATGGTGGCTTTGCTCGCTGCTGCCCGGCTCACCTCGGCCAGCTCACGGCTGTTTCCATCCGCGTGCCTTAACCAGGCGTTGAACTCGCAGCTCTGGGCGGGGCCAGTTAACTGTCAAAATTTCATTTCCTGTTGCACAGCACATCAGCTCGTTCTCGGTTCCAGTCGGGCCTCCGTGGCAGCCGGAGTCGGTGACTCAGGCCGGCCGTCCCAGGAGGAGCCGTGGCGTGGAGGTCCTGGTACCGCCTGGACGGGCTGGGTTCCTGTCAGAGGAACTCTGGAGAACCCTGGCTCCTGGCAGAGGGGAGGATTTGGGCTTCTGCCAGGCATTTCGCTCCTCTGATACACATCTCCAGTTTCTCCACACATCCACTCACACCCCCGACTTAAATCCACATTCTTTCCAGTTTGCTCTGCATTTACCCGTTTTACTCCCTCTAACCTTTCATTCACTTCCCTCTCAGTCACCTCTCATCTCTGCATGTTTCATCCTCTCGTCTTTTCCATGTAAACGATGACGCCTGGAGCCCCGCGCTGGGGAGGTTTTCAGTAGCGTGGCTGCTTTTTCTCCGGCTCTAGGGAGAACGTTCCTGCTGTCATGATGCAGGAAAACTCCGGGATTACAGCTGCGGCTCTGGTCAGCAGCGCCGTGAGAGGAGAAAACTCTCACTGTGGTCAGCGTTGCAGCAGCTGGAGCAGATCAATGTTTGGCTTCCATCATCATCATCATCATCATTGAGTAACACGCTGATGCTTTTTGCAGGATGAGAACGAACGTTTCTGCTGAATGTTTACTGAAGGAAAGCAGATTCATGAAAAGATGGAAATGTGTGTAAATAACAGAATTACTTGTGAAAAGTACTTTTAAATACTTATACTCACGTGTACTGATGCACTCTTTAGGATGCTCTACAGGAATTAGATCTGGAACCACATCATTAGAAAAGCATAAAACATTTTTAATGACTGAATAAACCTTAAAAATTGTGACTTACAGCTAAAGATCTCTCAGGTTTAACCCTTTCATGCTCAAATGTCACAGCAGTAGATACTCTAAGTGCTTTCAGGCGCTGCGGATGCGTTCGAGCCTCCACGCTGGACTAGTGGGCCAGTGACGTGCAAATATAATAAATTATTTGTAAATTCAATTTAACCAGAAGTTTGTTTAAATGATATATTTTAGCTAAAACTTTATTCCACTGAAACGATCATTTTACATTTTTAGTAGCCCTCTGGAGGCAGGCGTTGCAGATTTGCAGCAGTTACCTGGTTACTGGGGCAGCAGTTGCTCAGGTGGTAGAGCGGGTTGGCTCACCCTAACCCATCATGGTCATGGGTTTGATTCCTGCTCCCACCAGGGGTATTCTGCTGTTGTGTCCTTGGGCAAGACACTTCATCCAACTTGTCTGTGTTGGTGATGGTCAGAGGGGCCGAAATGGCAATCTCGTCTCTGTCAGACCGCCTCAGGTCGGCTGTGGCTACAAAGAAGCTCACCATCACTAGCAGTGTGTGAATGTGAGTGCATGAAAGCGTCTTTGAGTGTCCTAAACAAGCGCTATATAAGTTCAATTTATTATTATTATTATATTATTATTATTATTATTATATTATTATCATTATTATTATATAGTAATATTATTATTATTATATTATTATTATATTATTTTTGTATTATTATTATCATTATTATTATTATTATATAGTAATATTATTATATTATATTATTATTATTATTATATTTTTATTATTATTATTATTATATTATTGTTGTATTATTATTATTATCATTATTATTATTATTATTATATAGTAATATTATTATATTATATTATTATTTTTGTATTATTATTATATTATATTATTATTATTATTATATTATTGTTGTATTATTATTATTATCATTATTATTATTATTATATAGTAATATTATTATATTATATTATTATTATATTATATTATTATTGTATTATTATTATTATATTATTATTATTATTACTCCACACACGTGTTTCATGAGCGTTTTTAACTCAGAAGTTCCCCTGAAGGACTCAGTTGTTCGTCCTTTATCAGAACTTATGTTGAGCCTGAGAGGGTTAACACCTAAATAAAACCATCTCAATACTCCAAATAAAACATTGAAAAACTTTTATCTTTAGTGTGAAATTTGAAAGGTTTGAAGATTTTGTCTGTTTCTGTGTAAAAGTTATGAATAATTATTGTTATCCATTCAGCCAATGGAGCTCAGGACTGACGAGCTAACGACTAGTCACAGAAGTTTGTTTCGTGAAGTGTTTCTAAAGAAATAGTATTTATTTATTTACCTATTCACAAATCTCCGGGGGTTGCTGCTGGTCTCGGATTTAAACGCAGTAATGAAACGTCGCGTCGACAAACCATCAAGACGATCGACTCCTGCAGGGTTTTATCTTCACATCAGCCCCCGTGAACCGGAAAAGGGCCACGAAGCTTTTAAGAATTCACTAAAATATAAGTTTAATACGTAAAACGACGCTCTCTGAAACACCTTGAATATTATTAAGCAACTTTGAAAG